AAAAGAGCAGCGGATGAAGTGACGAAGTTGTGTCGTTCCTCAAAAGTACGGTCACAGTATATAATATACTTTGTAGAAACTATACAAATAGTGTGTGCATTTAGATTAGACAAGCATGAATAGAGAAATTGGCAATTTCAGATTTGTGATGGTAACCAAAAAATTCTAGCTGTTAATGCAGGCCACGGTGGACGGATTCACGACTCACACATATGGAATGCATCGGTTATCTCTCATCATTTAGAACAAGAGCACAGAAATGGTAGAACAGGAACATGGTTGATTGGTATATATTTTATCACAATTTATATAAATTGTGCAATTATTCAACATTTTTTAATACTTGAAACTACTCTTAAAAAATATTAAATTTTTGCTTATTACAACTTTGCACAATAATAATGTTTGTATATAGTTCAATATTAGTGCATATTCATCGTAGTAAAAATAAATAATTTTATTTATTATAACTTATTTTATTAAAAAATTTATGAAATTATTAAGTTCTTAAAAATTCTCACGATTAAAATAATATGCATTGCTACTCTTAACAGGTGATTCTGGATACCCACTACTCCCATATTTGTTAACTCCAATGTTAAATCAACCCGTTGGTACACCTCCTGTTAGATATACCGATGTGCATGTTAAAGCCCGCAGCGAGATTGAACGTTGCATCGGAGTGCTTAAAGGTCGGTGGAGGTGCTTAAGGAAAGAACGAGCACTACATTACAAACCAGAGTTTGCAGGTATCCAACCATTACTAAAAAATAGACATTACTATAAAAATTATTATTAATCATTATTAACAAGATAAGTGATATAATTTTTGTTTGTGCATTTCTCTCTTTCAGCATTGATAGTGAATGCTGCTTGCATTTTGCACAATATTGCAAAGATATATAATGTCCCCGAACCTGATTTATATGTCGATGATATAGACCAAGAAGATGAAGATTTTCTACAAAACATTAATAACGGTAGAGGTCGAGCAGGACAGGAAGTTCGGGAAGCATTAATACGTCGATATTTCACATAATTTAACGTTGAAATTATTTTAGTCATTTTACTTTTAATTTTCAATGGCTGTGTATTCATCTGTAAACGAATATTCAAAGGGTATTTCGCATTATAATAGGTGAAATGTCACTGGAACGCTTTTTGGAAAATAATGTTGCAAATATGTTTCTATACCGGAAAAAGTAAGTTTGCATTATTTTACCGCCCGCCCGCCCCCCGCCCACCTCCTGGGGGCCCAAAAAACCGCATTTTTACATTTTAATTTATTTCTTAATAACAGTATCTTGTAAACATTTGAAAAAATTCATACTTAAACTTCAAGATATAGAGACTGTGCTCAAATTTTTTCAAAATTTAATTT